TGATCGCAGTGTTCTCATCGGACATTTCTCTTGGAATATGTTCAATGCATGTCCAAAATTAATTTTTATTTGCATATCGGGTAGTCACTGGACAGCCCGATGGACCGCCAGTGGTAGACGCAAGCAACCTTTGCTATGCAAAGAGGCGATCAAAGGTTTTATGGATTGATTTATATGTATGAGATTTTCAAATTGAATTGTTTTATTAGCCAAAAAATGTTATTCCCAAAAGTTAGTGGGGGAAATTAATTGGTAAGACAAAGTAGCTCTTTCTAGTTTTGTTTGTCCTTTCAAAGCATGTTAAATTTCCTTGGAACAAAACCAGCAGCAGCTTTGTTATCAACCTGGTTGTTGCTTGCAAGCTATAAACAAACAAAATATGGAGAATAAGGAGTGAATTCCATAATGATTCCATTAAGAAAAGAAGGGTTGTTCCATATGTGGCTAGATCATGAAATGAAATAAGCTGTATAAAGAGGTTGCACAGCATGGCATTATGGTTGTGGCTTCTAAATTTATTTACATGCACATGTATACAAACCCCAATGAAAGGAAGCCTTGGCTCATTTGGATGAAACCTGGTAAGCAATAATCATGATTGATAAGATGGTGAACCATAAAAAGTATGTCAGTGAAAAATTAAAACAGCAGAAAAACAAGTGGTAATAAGTTTATGTTCCTTGCATTAGAAATAAATGAATTCTCCTTCAACTGCCAGTTTTTGTCATGGTGAGAAAGGTGGTATTTCGGCTATAAGTTCATGAAAAGCTGTGTTGAAGATAACTGCCACCACTTGAATGCAAGCATGAAGTTGACCTCATCATTTCCACTGCTTGTCATATCTTTAGGAATCCCCAACATACTTTGATGATTCACTTCTACAACTCTTTGAGAGTGTTTTTTTTTTTTTCAGAGAAAAATCAATAGTTTAAGCATGGGTCAGATTTCTTGAAGATGTGACCAACTGGAATTGATGAGTGGCAACAACTCCGAACTTGTATTCAAGTGTACTGCAGGCATTTTGAACACCCTTCTCTTAGATGTACTTGTTCCACTTACTCCACCTGGACAAGAATTGGCAAGTTTGTGCATAATTCATTTCTCTTTCTTTTGCTGGAAACCACCATCTATCCCCAAGGAATTTTCAGCCTTATTAATTTTTCACAGGCTTACTTTTTTTTTTTTTTAGCTTGCTTTGCAGTGACAATATAAATACCTGTTGTATATGTGTGGAATTGTAACAAACTGCTAATGGTTACTCATAACCATAACAGTTATGGGAAATGTTCTTCTACGTGAAGCCCATCCCAGTACCTTTCTCCAGTACCTCTAGAGTGTCTTCTATGGGTATTCATTTGCATACAATGAACCTGTCTGAGATGATCTGTGGAAGGGCCTCGTGCATATGAATATTCAGGTTCTTGATTGAGTGCACCTTGGATCTGGTTGAAAGGAGAGCTCATATCTTAGTCGGCTGGGATTTGATGAGGTTCTTGTTTCATACTTACTGATTTCAGGGGATAAATGATGAATGGTACATGTAAGCCAAGACGAAGCTCTTCTGCTATGCGAGCCTTGAAAAGAGTCCTTCCGCAGATGTATCATGTAGGTGGATGAGGTTGAAGGTGAAAAATCGTCGTGAGGGTGTTGGTAGCAATTAGTGGCTGTAGTAGCAGATGGTTCCATACATGGGAAGTTTCCCATGATTGACCAGGACGGATTTCTCCTCGAGTGCAAACGGCCACGCGTGGCAACACACTTATGGGCCGCTGCTTCAAGCACTCCCATCTCCCTCCGCGCTCTCTTCTCCCCCTTCTTCCATGCCCAAAAAATAGCTCAAATCATCTCTCCCCCCTCCTCGTTTCTTCCGGTTGTTAAACAATTATGGCAACGCTTCAATCCAGTCTGTTCCCACATGTCGTGGATTCGGGAATGGTTTCTTGCGAGGATAGCGGCGTTAACTTCTAGAAACTCCTTGGAGAGATTTTAAAAATTAATTTCCTGCCTTCCTCGCCGATTGCGGATGTGGGCACGCAGATTGTTTTTTACTATTAAATTATTTCATACGAGGTTTTGTCTGCAGGAGACGGTTTCTTGTACATTTACAGAGTGGGTGTAACTTGGGTGAGCTCTTCTCCCAAATTTTCCGGAGCCTGCCCGCATTGCACTCGAGGAGCAAGGAAATGCAGTCACATTAATTGTAGTTGGAGATCAGTGTTTCCTGCGACCGTTACGAAAATACGCGAAGACAGAAGTATGATAGATCGGTAGAGAAGAGCGGAAATTAAAGAGGGGAGAAAGAAGCGAAGAGAGGTTACTCGGAGTTTGTTGGTTTCATTTTACTGAGACCAATCTTGAGGGGGAACCAGAGGAGGTGCACCCCCCTTTTTCCAAGGCCAGGTGTTTTTTTTCACATCCAACCACCAGCGTGTACATAATTTCAACAGTTTCCCCTAAAATGACGTTTTCTGTGTTCACGCTTTCCAGAGAACGCCGTGAGATGACTTTCTGTGGATATAGATTTTATTTACGATGTACTTTCGTAAGAGATTGCGAGAATTTTTTTTTCACCCTACGGCCATTAGGGGACGTTATCACGGAGGGGGACGTGACATAGGTTGCCTTGACGTTCCCAAATGAAAAGCAGCTCAGCAGAGACGGAAGAAACGAGCACGACGCAGGAAGACGTAGGAATGAAGAAAAAAAAGTACGCCTCCATACATGGGAATGGGAGAGATTAGGATCTTGAGAGACACGGCCATGAATAGCGTTGCGCGCGACCTGATGGACTGACGTGACCACAATTCCCGATAGGTCTAATGCCTATCTTCGCCTGCGTCATTTTTCTCATGCCTTCCTTTTCTTGGGGCTCGGTGGAATTTCAGGGACTTCCCCCGAACTCTCGCAACGCACATTGTGTGTTTTTTTTGTCTCTTACACTTTTAAATGACCTTGCTGCGAGCTTGGGGTTCGAGCCAGAAATCGGACGTCGCACAATGTAGGTCAATGAAAGAAACAGGTGGTTCGAGCCCTGGGCATGCAGGCGGTCATTTCATCATGAGTTTACGAAAGGAAAGGAGTGAAACGAGAACATTTGCATTGTCGTCTCGACGTGGATCCCCCGTCTCATCCCGGGGCTAGGGGACACGAGGTCATCGCTCCCCTGTCGATATCATAAAGGAGACACGAAACTCCTCTACGGGACGGAGGCGTTTATCTGCCCACTCACCCGATTCATTGGGTTCATTCATCTTCTTCAGCTTGGTTCTTGTACCGGGGACGATCGCGTGGGAGCGCCTGGTTGAGTTGAGTTGAGCAAGGCTGCCTCTTTTCACCCCCTTTTTTAGAACCCTGCTCGCGATGATTGAGGACTTGTCGCCCTGAGTGGCATAAAATGGGCTTTGCGTGGGTTTTTGAATCACCTCTAGCAAAATTACCACCCTCAATTATTTTCTCTCCTACACAGGTTCTTTTAAACGCTTTGATGGATGAGAAAGAGAGCAGCTTTTGAATCGCTGCGATGAACCCCCTCCCCCCTGTTTTCACTCGGTTCCCAATTGATTCCTCCGGAAATGTCCAATCGACGCCAATGCGGAGGAGTCATAAGAGAGGAAACGTTGCTGTCAACAGATGCACCATGTGCTTCGCACCTTGGACTCTAAAACTTCGTTCGCGCCCCTGTTGTACGGTGGGTGCCGTACCTGTGGTTGCTCGTCAGTGAAGATCGGTTCGGCCCGACCCATCTCTATGGACGAGCTGCCACTGTTACATTTGATGAGGCTGGCAGTACGCACCAGTTAATGCAGCGCTGCATCTGTTGTACAGTACGCATTTAATGCCGTTCAGTATAGTTACAGCATCCTGCTTGCTGCACAGCGCGGGTATGAATTCTGCTTAACTATGGCGTGGAAGCGGATTCGTTTATCATACTCGTATCGATACCGGTTTTTCTTTTTCATTTCACTTCCGTGTTATCAGAATAGCGGGAAAGGACAAAAGGAACGCAGGAAAGCAAACAGGGATGGATTATTCAGTCAGCAGAGGTAACGTCGAAAGAATTCCGGCTACGCAGTGGGCAGGGAAAGGTCAGTCAATGGAAGGGTAGGAGAAAAAAGTCGTTTTTAAGGCGCCCCCTCTCGTTTTTGATTAATTATTAGCGGGTTCAAGGTGAGACCTTAGTGCATACTCATTATGACCACCTGACCCGGAGTATATGCCGATCAACGATACGGATAATGTTATTGCTGGAACCCTTGCAGAGGGAGATCTCCCCCACGGGGCACTCGAAACGAGAACGTAGGCGCACTGGAACAATTCTCTGAAAGCGATGAAATTTCATGCCGTGCCACCTCGTTTCCGACGTCTTCGGATTAGTATAATAAGCGGGTGGAGCTTCTTGAAAAACTGCCAGTAACCCTTGTAAGGCGATATGGTGAGGGCATACCTCCAAGGCCTTTCCCCGTGCCACGGATCTGTCAGCACGTCGAAGGGGAAGACTGCCGATCGCTCGGAAGTACTCCGACCTCCTCGACCTCCTTTCGGAACCGGTTCGACTGAGTGGCTGGCTTCTTTGCAGGGGACAAGGAGGAGGCCTTGGCCTTGTACCGGGAGGGGGTGAAGGAGCTGGAGAAGGGGATCGACATCGTGATCCTTGGGAAGGGACCCGAGTACGATCGAGCCGAGAGGTTTCGGGAGAAGATGATGAACAATCTACGCTTGGCGCAGGACAGGATGAAGTTTCTCGGTTTGGACCTTCTTTGTCATCATGTCAAAAAACTAGGGTGGAGAAAAAAACTGGACATGCTGAGCTCAGCAGTAGTCGGCCTACTTTCGCTTAAAAAGGGGGCTTATTTTTATTCATCACCGTCCATAAATGCAATCGCACTCAGAATCTCAGCGGAAGTTCACTTCTTTTTTGTTGTTGGGGAAGTGAACTTCGGCCGAGGATTTTCTTTTTGTGGAAAATTTAAATGGTCACGGTGGAAGGTATTGTGGAACTCCCGTATGGACCGACACTCGCTGCCGATGCTTGTGTAGTCTGTGATTTGATAAAGCTCTGCTTTTGCACCAATTTCACAGAACCATGAACCATCTTCAATCACCTGTATGTGGCTGTAAACCACCTTGCACTGTAATTAATTAAAAAATAAATTTTTTAGTTATCGTCAACGACAATTGAAATTGGACACTCAAACTCAAAGAGGACTGTGGTGACCTCTTTTTTAAATTTATTTATTAAGAAAGAAGGCTGACTAGAAAGAGACGGCTCTAGGATAGGTCTTCTGAAGTATCTAATTTACAAGTTATTATTTGAGTTTCTTCTTGTTGAATGAAAATCACCCACAAAATCTTGATTTAGAACAGGGATGTGCAACCCGTGGGCCGCATGTATCTCGTGGACCTGCTTCTTGCGGCCCGGTAATGCATAATGGAATAACAGATAAAATAAGTTTCTTTGCGGCCCAAGGCCCATCACAACTTTGGTCACCCCTTAGCAACTAGAAATAGACTGTGAATCCTTCCACTTCCTTCCCCTAATTATTCATCGCGCGGGCGGTCCTACATATGTCACGAGGAAGAAGGTTCTCAGTGCCAAAGGCTATTTTTGAGCGTTGGAATTTCCTTGGGGTGGGGAAGAGGTAACCGCTCACCTCATATGCCCTGAGAGCAAAAAAGGGGAGCCTTTTCTTTTGCATTCTGTGGCCCGCGTGAAGAATAAAAAATTCCCATGCCGCCCACTTCCGATAAAGGTTGCACACCCCCGATTTTAGAGACTCCCAAACCACTTTGCCTATCATTTTCCACTCTGTTCGTGCAGAGAGAAATTGACTAAGTGTTCTGAAGTGTTATAAGACTGAATACTAGAATATATGACAGTGCATGTTGGATCCTATCTTCAGAAAACATGCTGCATCTGCACAACCTGGAGTTAGAGACACCACAGAGTGCCAAAGGTGCAGAGGCAGAGAACAACGAAGGAGCATCCAGACGGAGGTTCTGGCAGAAACGATCCACATCCTTGGATTCCTCATCTGCCAAAGTCAAGGTTGGGCCATCCAGAGGTGCACTCACGCCCAGCCCGATACCCATTGAAGAGGGCTCTGGTGAGTTGTGTCCAAATGTTACAGTTGCACGAATCTTAAAATCTTGAAATTGATGCAGAACTGTTTCGATGGCGATGCTATGTATCTGTTGTGGGTATAACATGATTGACGCTGAGGCTGAAAGTGTACTCTCTGGTTAAATCTGAGGTATTATGGGAGATCATCCTAATTAGTGTTCCAATTTCATCTCTGACTGACAGTGGAGATGGAAGACCTGGGCATTACCCATTAACTGACATTTGCCTTGATTCTTCTGTGGCTCAGTAGAACCCCAATTATCCCTGCTGATGGAGGCTAGTTGATAGCATGGAGCTTGAAAAACGTGGATAATCTAAGTTTTGAATTAACCCAAAGAAGTTCTTGATCAAAAGTTGACCAAAGATTGGCCGATGTCTCTGAAATACAGTATGTACAAACAGCACATTGCATTTAAATTATGAGAATGCGAGAAAAACTCACTTTTGCTTGCTGTGCACTTGAAAGCAATTTAAACTCAGATTATGGTGTCACCGTTGTAAAGTACAGGGTGCCCCAACGAATCGTAACGATTTGATTTTCGAATAACTTTTTTAACTCTGCACCGATTCTGATCGCGTTGATAATTTTGTAGAGCGTTTCGAGAGAATTTGACACCTCGTTGAACTCAAACGGATAAGAAAGGAATTATGACGGTTTCGGTGAGGTCGATCGATCATCACCGATCGACTTGGGCATCTCCCATTGCGAAATTCCGACTGGAATTTCCGTTGTTGGCTCTTTCCAAAACGTATTCTATGCCTCCTTACTCAAAGAGACGATACGCACAATTAGCTAGCACACTTTAGCACGCGCAATCAGGGGGCTGAAAATTGAGAGCAGCGACGCGAAAAAGTGGTGTCTAAGAAGATGCCTTAAGTTCATTTATCCTCGACCGTTTGCGCTCAAATAGGTGTCGGGAAATTCTCTTGAAACGCTCTACAAAAATATATAAACGATCAGAATCTGATATCGATCAGAATCAGTGCAGAATTTAAAAAAGTTATTCAAGAGTCAAATCGTTATGATTCGTTGGGACACCCTGTATATCCCATAAAGAGTCAGTGCCAGGGAATAAAAAAAAAGACAGTCTTTTAAAAACAAATCTGAAAAATGTGTATCTTAATGTTGCGATTTGCGCTCTTTTTCTAGAGCTGCTTGTTAGCATATCTGTCTATGATAATCATCGGAGGATTCAATCGTTTCTCACCGCGATCGGACGGAGGTTTGTCTTGCATCGTGTCTTGCCTCGATCGGAACGCGGACCTCCATCCGTCTTCCATAATCTCACGCTCGTGATCGGGGGTGAGAGTGCGAGGGGAAGGTGTGACCTTCGCGACGGGTAATTGAAGCTCACCATGTGCCTCCAACTATCGAAAATGACGTCCAATCACCGATGGGTGCATCAGGACAGCCATAACTTTTTCTTACTGCCGTTGAGAATCAGTTGCCAAGCCTGTTCACGTCATTTTTTTCCCTTTTTCTTCGTTCTGCACTATCTTCAGACATCGGCTCCGGCAGATAGCAAACCTGCCGATGGTGCCATACCGGCACTTGCCGCAACATCGGTACAGCCCTAGAATAAGCGACTTCCATGTAAAAAAATCACTTTCGGTTCACCTTAAGAGGTGAAATGTCCAAGGGCAAGTTAAAAATTCAACACTTAAGCCTGCATCCATACTAAAGAGAAAGACAGGAATTTAGAGAGGAAGGTTAACCAATGTACGTTTCGAAATGAAGGGAGTATAAGAACTGTCCACTTTCACAGCATGCGCCTGATGAGATCGAGCCGAAGACGAAAACAGAAGAGAGAGAAAAAAAAATTCCAGGTCTTCCCTCCCTCTCCCTTCCCACTTCCTGTCTTCGATCCTACATGTTTTTTTTTTCCCCCTTCTCGTCTTTCATATAATCGGTCCCAGCATTTCCAGAATTTGATGGTGGTAAGAAACTGCAAGCCCATGCGGGTCACGCCGCTTCTTTCTTTCCCCGCCCGGATGGACTGTATTGTACTGTACTCGCCTCAATCCAATGGGACATTTCTCCTTCAAAATCTTTTGCCGATACATTGCGCTGGTCGGAAAAACTATTGGTACCTTCAATCCTCGAGAGTGGTATCGATGCATCGACCTGTCGTGATGGCCTAATTTTTATTTTGCCTTGTAAAATGCTTTTGGTGAAGAAATCAGTGATAAAAAGATCCCATTGCCAAATTAAATAAACACTTGATGCAGGAGCTGTAATATCTTCTTTTTTAGATCCGAGATGGCTTATGCTATGAAAAATACACGAATTACATCCATTGATTCTCTGTATGCACTCTTGTACAAAAATCATTAGTTAACACAATTGTGGTTTTCGTACTAAATCAATGATCTGAAGAAGCTATCAGCAGACTGATTCTTCAGCTAGATGTGTATTGTTCTCACAGCAGCCCCACCATCCAGAAAAGGCAAGACGGCAGCAGATGCCAGGGCGAAACCTGCATCACGAGGAGGGACTGCAGGGTCGGGAGGTGTAACTTCACGACGGCCCCTCTCAAATGGTGCCCTTGGTCCTCCAGGGAACCGGTTGGCTACAAGAAAGCCAAGCATTGAGGTATGTGTTCATGACTGGAAAAGCACTTTGGTACTCATTCATTCAGAGATAAAGGTATTGACATTTATTTGCTTCAGAATCTGCCAGGAGCAAAAGGGATTCCATCTGCCCGGGGCAATCGTGGGATATCCGCTGCATCAAATACTCAGAGGAAGGATGCGGGGCTTCAAACCAGGGTTCAAGGATTGCCAGGAGTGGATTCTCACTGTGCCAAACTCATCTGTGATGAAATAGTCACCACATGCTCAAGTGTGGCTTGGGATGACATTGTGGGACAAGATGTATGCATCAGATTCTCTCACTCTCATCCTTAATGCATATGTCAGGTCGCTCCAAAACAAGTGTGTCGTGCTTGATGTTTTAAAGCACTTACCATTGAAATACTAGTCCGAAAAATTCTTTTTTTTTTTCCATACCACTGAGAAATTACATTAAAAGTCAAGAACACCAAGTCAACAATGCAGAGCCATAAATGCAGACTCTTTGATTCCAAATAGGAAACATCAATAGAGCGCCGTTGAAGCTGCTTTATATGACACATGGAAAAGTGAATTTCTTGCTGAAGTTTGGAGCTGTTGCCATCTATCCAAAAGAACAACGAAATAAATTTTGAGTGCTTTCTTTTGGCTATAAAAAAAAAAATTACAAAACTTTTAGTTCTATTGTCAATAAGCTAATAAGTGTCAAACACAACTCTACTTTTTTTTTGCCACCAATTTGTGATCAATAAAGAAGTATATTGAACTCTCTTCCAGACTGCAAAGCAAGCTCTCCATGAGATGGTGATCCTTCCTGGACTCAGGCCAGAATTGTTCACTGGCTTGAGAACTCCAGCTAGAGGCCTTCTTCTGTTTGGACCACCAGGAAATGGGAAAACATTGTTAGCAAAGGCAGTAGCAAGTGAAGCTCAAGCCAAATTTTTTAGCATTTCTGCTTCAAGCCTCACATCAAAGTGGTTTGGTGAGGGGGAGAAGTTGGTGAAAGCTCTTTTTGCTGTTGCACAGTATATACAGGTGTGTTGCCAGTTCATGTATGTGTTGATGGGTTGATGATGTGAATAATCATTTACATTTCTTTTTCATGGCAGCCCTCTGTGATATTTATGGACGAAGTAGATTCCCTTTTGGGGAAGAGGAAGGAAAACGAGAATGATGCCCTACGCAGGCTCAAGACAGAATTTTTAGTTCAGTTCGATGGGGTCACTTCTGATAAGAATGCACGTATTATTGTCATGGCAGCAACCAACAGGCCCTTTGACCTGGATGAAGCTGTGCTCAGGCAAGTCAGCTTTCTTTGCTTCACATATTCAAAATCCCATCGCAAAGGCAGGATATAAATAAATATGTCAATTTTTATAACAGGCGATTTGCCAAACGGATATATGTCTCCCTGCCTGACAAAGAAACTCGTCAGAAACTCCTGGAGGCTCTCCTATCCAGAGAGAGTGGACAAGGGAAGCCATTGAGTGGAAAGGAGCTCAAGCGATTGGCCGAGCTGACCGAAGGTTATTCTGCATCTGATATCACAGAGCTAGCCAAGGATGCTGCCCTTGGTCCTATTCGAGGTAAGTCTCATTCTTTCCTAAGCTGCTTCTATGATAGTGTTCAGATGTAATTATCTGAAAGCTAATTTATAATGGGTTGAATAAAAGTTTATACTGAAAAAAGTCTAGACCTGGATAAAATGCAATAATAGCCTTTTCATTTTACCAGTGATCATCTGTTTTGGTTGTTATAATCAGTTCCCTCAGGTTTTTTATTATTTCAGTCAAACTGCTACTTCTGAACTTTTTCAAAATATATATTGGTTTTGGCCCTATCCTCTTGGTAATGACTTAGCTGTCTTGGTTTTCAGAATGGGATCCACAGGTCCTGAAGACATTGGATGCTCAGAGTCTCAGGGGTATTACATTCCAGGATTTTGTGGAATCTTTGAAACGAGTCAGAAGCAGTGTCTCACCAGAAACTCTCCATAGTTATGAACAGTGGAATAAGCAATTTGGAGATGTGTCTCTGTGATGTCTCTCTCATTGTGCCATTCATTCCATGAATTCATATGCCTTGTTCACCTTCTGTGCCTAATGGACAAGCTCAATTTGATCAATATTTGAGGACCAAAAGTGACTTATCAATGCAGCTGTGATGTCCTACTTTCTATAGCACTAATTCTTGCTGGTGACTTTCCAAGGTGCATAATAAAGGACTACAGTTATGCATTGCACTAGATATATTTTTCCATTACTGTTTCTCAGCATTGCATGTTCTACTTTACTTGCTTTTATTCTCTCCTTTCACAACTCAATGCATAATTGGTGCCCATGATAGAGAATCCATAATCTATTGTCTGGGTTCTTGCTTTGTGCCTTAAGGTTGTGTGTTGCCCCTTGTTTCAATTTTTGCCTTTCACTAGTAAGTTATTCTGGCATTCGGATTTCTTAATATTCTGCCTCTACTAATATATTGTCTTTGCTAATTTATTACTGTAGAGGATCTGCAGGAAAAAGCATCTCATGTTAAACTTGGTTGTCAGATGAAAGTAAACTTTTTTCCATGTAGATAGGTTCTCCTCTCATGGTATATTTCTACTTGGGTCAAGAAAATGGAATTTCTTTGTATTTACTAAATGGGAAGGTTCTTGCATAGAATTCCTTATGGCTCTAGTGTGGAACTTGACCACATTGTGACATGGGTTAACAATTTCTTTGAAAATCGTTTTCAAGAGCATGAGGTTAATCACAAGTGTGATGAGAAGTTAATAAGGGAAAGCTAAAAAAATTTGCAGTCATTTAGGTTTGTTGAAGCAATAAAAAGTAAGAGACTCTTATGAAATTTTCAACTCCCAAAGAGTCGTATTACAGCTCAGGGAGTGCATCTACATGGGACAGAAACAATTTTGCAAAACTAAACTTTCACATTTGGAATCAGAAAAATGTACACTATATTACCAAAAGCTTTGGGACAAGCCTCCCTCCACTGATAACAGATCAGATCTGCACATTGATAGGAACTGGAATGTACCTGTAATATGACAACCATCATTCTATGTTCTCCATCAGCTTCAGATTCACGTGCTATACTGGCAAACACCAACTGTAACAGATTCCAGATTATCTTTATATACCTTTGGACTACTGTGATAACCACATGACCTCAGGAACAATCTGTTATTGGCAATGGGAGGCTTGTCCCAATAGTTTTGGTAATATAGTGTACTTGGCCTTATCATAAATGGGCTTCATAAAATGTGATTTATAGCTTATTTCCAGCTACAAATCTGTCAAACTGTCAAGAAATACAGTATGGGCTCAAAATCAAATGCAATGCAATATTTTATTTTTATCAGGTTTCAAAATGAGGACAGTATCACATTGGTATCAGAATCTCTCTGCTGCACGGCTTGCCATGGCTCGAAGTGTTCCATATACTTTTGAAGGTGGACTACCTAAAAGGGAAAGCATTGAAATTGGGTTTATGGGAAAGAACTGGATGGGAGGCAAGAATAAGGGAAAAATACTCACCTAGGATGAGGTTGCATATAGCTCTTCGAGCTATTTGGATGTTCTGATAGGATCCAAGGATGTGGATTTTTGAGTCAGCCAAGACTATCCTGGTTTTTGTGGCATTTTCTATTGCAAACTTGGTCTTACCTCCCTTGCCTGCCACACGGCCAATAGCACGTGACAGGTGGTTGCCCTTCAGGCTCTTAACTGGAGAAGGAAGAGTGAAATTTATATGCACAATTCACTTGAAGTCATCGCATTAAGACACTGGTATCCAAACTCACCGTCTTTAATTTCAAAAGACTCCACAAACAGGTCATCTAGCCGGACCAAGGCCAAGGCATCATCAACATCAAATCCCAAAATGAAGGCCTTCACAAAGTCAGCTGCTCGCTGAAGATTCGTAATGTCTGGAGTTTCTGGACAGCTCTGCATGAACATGAGTTTCAAGAATCGGGAAAATTTTTTTAAACAATTCAAGTTGCCAGGAAAACAGTAGGATGGAAAGAAAAACTAAATAAACCACTGGATTTACAGTTTATTTGAGTGAGCATTGCCCTTTTCCTAATGCAATGGAGGAAAACAAATTTTTGGCACCTTGTACTGGTAAGAACTTGCCTTGATTTCCACATTTCTTGTTTTGAGGTTGAATCGAATTTTCAGCTTGAGGTATTCCACAATTGGAGTGAATATCTTGAGCCAGTTCTCTCGAAGAGGTGTGTATCGGCGAGCTGGAACACCCACTTTCCTAATCTCTGACTTTTCCACCAATTTCTCCCTTTTCAATGGAGGAAACTCAGGTCGTCCATTGGTCACTTCTCCTGCACTTTCAAGTTCCATGGGGATAACTAGGTTTCCTTCTGCCTTTCGCTTCTTCCCACTCTTAGTTTGAACAACCTTCCATTGCCCCTTGTTGGAGGTGGTGGAAGAGGGTTTCTTTTTGAGCTGCTTCTGCCGTCTCCTTGCTTTGGGGCGTTTTGGTTCCTCCTTTGTTATTGTGTTTTCCTCCATTCTTTTATTCTGAGAAACTCAACCTGTCATCAAGCCTCAGTTACAATTCATGATATATCTAAATTAGCCTACCTCATGTCATGCAGTATGAACACGTTACTTTTAGATATAGACACAGGTGATCTGACTTCTTTAAAGAAGTCACCATGTCATGCTTACATGAATGGACCTGCTGAAATTTAAACAAATAAGGATAAAAAATAAATGCCATGGGATAAAAAAAAAGGGTTCCTTAATTTCATAAAAAGTTTTTATATATAATATAAGCAAGATTCTTTCTTGAGTCCACACTGATTCCCTGAACATGCATATGATTCTCTTTTAAGAATATCACTGTCTCACATCAAATTGTTCACTCTAAAAGCAAATAAAAATAAGAAACTGAAAATTACTTTGTGAACATGCCTATACAGTATTGAATAGGATGTATACCTGTTACTACACCTAAAGGAGTCATAAGGCAAGCCAGGTAACTTGCAAGACATCTAAGGAAAATTATGATCACTTGTCTTGATCTAGATTTTCAACAAACTTCTCTACTTTGTCTATATCAACAAGTCCAACAAACTTATCCACTATCATGCCATTGTATATAGCAACAACAGCAGGGACAGCCTGAACACTGAACTCTGCAGCAATTTGAGGATTTTCATCAATATCTAGGTTGCAGAGTTTTACATTCTTTGCTTTAGTAACAACTGCAGTAAGCCTTGGAGTCAATCCATGACACGGTCTACACCAGTCAGCATGAAAGTTTACAATCACTGGAACATTGCTTTTCATGACATGCTCCAGAAATTCCTCACTGTTTGTCACTTTTATAAGTTTTGAGGGTGGTGGTGTCTGAGAAAGACATCTTATCAGGCAGAGATGATTTTCTGGACGGACTCTGGAATACCCGTGGACTTGAGATTGTCGAAGACACAAAAATTTCCTGTGGGAGACTTGAGCTGCTCTCCAAAGATAATGACTAGCTCTGATAGGTACAACTTTTGCCATATTGCAAATCACAATGCGAGGCTGCCGACCCAAGTATCATCAATCTGATACAAGGATTTTCAAGGGTCTCGCATGTACAGGCTCCAGAACATGAAGGAAGAGCACAGCCACCCCTCCTCCTATCAGGGAAGCTACTAGCAGTGTCAGCAGCACCACTCGCCAAGCGTACAATGGATCATAGATCTGCAAAGAAGTTCATTTCAATTCCAAAGTGTCAGGCTTGCCCTGTTGTATGGCAAAAACGGCTAACTCTAGAAAACTTGCATCACCTCTTCTATCACGACCACACTGTCAACTGTGAGCAATAACGCATCACAAGCCATGCAGTTTACATAAAATAAATTAGATTTGCCAAGAGCTCATCGACCAGGTATGCTAGTAAGGGAAATTTGATGCAAGATGCATGCATTGTGAGTAGGTCAACAATCGAGCATACCTTTTCCTCTTGCTCGCTTACGGGACGATCGCCGTCGGGAGACGGAGGAGGTTTTCTTGGGAGAGCAAAGAGAACGCAGGTTAGAAGCGCAGCGGAAAGAACAGTGGTTAGAGCGATCCCAGGCTTCTTCTTGGCGAGAAGCAATGCAAGAAGCAGAACAAAGCCCCAAAGGAACAGAAGAATGAGTATCCCCACACCGACTCCACCGACTATTGCCATTCTCACACGAGAAGCTCCTCCAGTAGAACCGAACCTTGAAACACGAAAACGTGAACACGACAGGGCAGTGCCATGCAGAAGCAGAGTTGCGTTATCCCCTCCTATTATCATTTATCTTCCTGTTGCTCCGCGGAGTAGGCCTGACGCAAAATCCCCCTCGGATCTAGCTATAATTTCTGCGAACCATCTAAGTCGATACCAAATCTTTAAATATGCGATTAGGGCATTTATTAATTAGCAGGTATCTGCCCCTTCCGTGGGAGGTGGGATTCGTGAGCGTTCACTAGGGAATATGGCGCCTGTCAGAGAGAATGAAGAGTTGCCCGACGGCAAGAATGTGTGGGCATCTATCCTCGAAGAAGTTCAGTCACAGGTCTGTGATAGTGTTCTTGTCATATTGAAGAGCTTCAGATGTAACAGGACTTGAAAAACTGGGACCAGGCGTGAACGCCTGGGTCTTAAGGCTTTACCCATTAGAGTAGGCGTATACGTTTTGTTTTTAATTAATTAGCCATTTGCGGATTCGTGCTCGTATTCCGAATGCAGGCGGAATTAAAGTGTTTTTCACTTCAATCTGGCAATTCTTTCTTTACTTGACTCCATGCATGGGAAGGGCTGGACAGGCGTCGGAGTATCGGGGGAAAGAAAAGCCGAACGCTATTGAAAATCGTGTAGATGCCTTAAATAACAGTGAATTTTGAATAATCACCTCTTTACAATTCTATGTTGTCCTTTTTTGGAAGGAGAACTTGTTCCGAATGAGTAATTGAAGTTCATAATTAGAAGTTCGATGAGAATGTAAAGTTCCTGGTGAGTTTTTGTCTAATTAAATTGAAAATGACTTATCTGACTTTTCAATTTGCTCTACCTTAAATGCTCGATTGGAAGGGGAAGAAAAGAGTTGCAGGAATGACCTAAAAATTCCAAAAAATTGATTCTTCAATTTGGCTAACTTTCCTGGTCTTTGGATCCATGAACTCAGTTGGAGTTCTGATTTATATGTTTTGTTCTGATTGATATAGTCTGATAGGTCTCGTGGGTTATAGTCTGTGCAGGAACCAGGAAAAGAGTCCTAGCCTACCATTATTGTAAGTTATCAAGAGTCTTGTCTCAGGAATCAGTTAATGGCCTTTGCCATATGGTAGCCTTGTTAATTGGTGAAGTGAGTCAATAGAGGTAGGGGAAGGTCACTGGGAGAAGAAAACAGATGAAGTAGGAGAGGAAGTGAAGTGGCAGAGGTGAAGGCCTTCAGAAGCCATCTGGCAAAGTTCCCACAAGCCACAACTTGAGAATGGTTCCTTTGTAGTTAAGTGAGGGGACATTTAACATTCTTAGGTGCAGATTGTTTTACCTTGTGAGGTTTTTTGGCTTGGTTGTGGTTCCCAGCTGTGGGAATATCGAATGACATTATCTGCTCAGTTGATGGGTTTGGCCATTATTAATAGTACAGTATAAGGTAGGTGAAAGGGATGTGATAGTCCAAGAAATGAGTTACCCAGATCAAAGTGGGTGGGCAATAATTTGGGTGTCAACTATCAACCAGCACAGCTGACTGTTCTTATCATTTCTTAGTTCAGGTAATTCACCTGAAGATGCTACCTCATCATGGTGATGAGGTAGCATCTCTCAATATATAGCAATTATTGAATCATGTTTTTTTATCATTTCATTTTTCATTAATTTGCAAGACAAATTGAATACTTTGGGAAATAATGGTTGTGTTGCAAATGTTACAAACTTTCTGTTAGAGAACATTGAAAGGAATACAGGGAATTCCAAATACTGAAATTGAATTATTAATTGATTCTGATGGTAGAGGACTACTGGCACTATATGAAACTTTTGATCTCATCAATGCAAAAGCTTAGCTTAACCCTTTTATCTTTACACATCCCTGTGCTGAGATTTTTGCTTCTGGTGCACCATGGTGTGTTCTACTTATGAGAAAATATGTTCCCTCATTTACCTTATTATGTAAATGTATAAGTAGACTGGTACAGATTGTCTTGAAGAATCTCAAGTAAGAAGCACAAGAGGAAATGTCACCAGAGGAGACACACTTTTGCACTTGAGTAAACTTGATCATAGCACTTAAATGGTTAATGTTTAAAGGGTAGCCCATAAGCCCATTTTGGCAATTCAGAGAATGATCAGCATTTTCCAACATCTTTTTTGTCCATTCTCCAAATTTCTACAAGGCAAAAAAAAGGTAATCAGATTCCTTCAAGGCAAAAATATTATACTGCTCTTACAGCATATATATTAGTGTCAGCTATGGCATTTGAGAGGTCTAAAAGTTCTAAATTAGTTTACTTAAATTTCACAGTGTGTGGCAATGCAGTTTTTGTTTGTTGTTCATATGAGTGCCGAAATTTCTAAAATTGTTGAAGATATTTGAATATAAATGCACCATTTTAAAGCTTATTCATTCCTCTTTCAAATGCCACAGACCATATGAAAGTATATGCAGTGAGTGAAGTATCATTGAAAACTTTCCAGTTTTTTTTGGTCCACCCTGTGCATGAAATAGGTGATAACTTCGAAAGTTTCTCTTTCTCTGACAATGTTCCTTTTCCAGTTACAATTTCATTAAAGAGGTTGTGGCATATCATCATTACCAAGTTAGTATATTTATTAAGCTGCTTTATTTTGAGCTGACCTGAGTTATGAGTTGCTTAGCTGTTTCCTGAGATTATCTTCCCTTTTTTTCCGATAGGAAAGAGTGCGATTGCCATCCTGCAAAAGGATCCTGCTCTTGGGTGAAAATGAGTCTGGGAAGACTACCTTGATCGCCAAGTTGCAAGCAAATGAAGACCCTAAGAAGGGATGTGGATTAGAATATGCATACCTTGATGTACGAGATGAGTATAGGGATGACCATACTCGCTTAGGAGTCTGGATTCTTGATGGAGAGCCTTCCCACAACCATCTTCTGAAATTTTCAATATCTGAGGAGAATTTCAAGCATACAACTGTTGTCTTGGTTGTATCAATGATGACACCCTGGTCCCTAATGGATTCTCTTCACACCTGGGCATCTTTACTTCAGGATCACATAGATGCCTTGAAGCTAGAGCCTGATGTCATCAGGGAGCATCAACGAGAAAATTCCCGCAGATGGCGCAACTACATCGAACCTGGAGATGAACTTGAACGTGCTGCTAACCTTCAAGTGTCATCTTCAACAGCTGTAAATGGAATTGATAGTGAAGATGATGTCAAGGTGAATGAAGAGCCTCTGCCTGAGAATGTTTTAACACGTAATCTTGGTTTAGACTTGATGGTGGTGGTCACTAAAACAGATTACATGTCTTCTTTGGAAAAGGACTATGATTATAAAGATGAACATTTTGACTTCATTCAGAAGCATGTGAGAGAATTTTGCCTTCAGTATGGTGCAAGCTTGTGCTACTGCTCAGTGAAAGAGGACAAGAACTGTGACCTTCTGTATAAATATCTAGTCCATAGGATATATGGCTTCCCCTTCCGAACCCCTGCATTGGTTGTAGAGAAAGATGCAGTCTTCATTCCTTCTGGTTGGGACAGCCACAGTAAAATTAGTATCCTGCATGAAAACATGCAGAGTATATCTCCAGACGACGACTACACCGATGTCATTGCTCGACCCATTCCACGCAAAGTTGCATCGAAGGAAGCCGAAGTTCATGCGGAAGAAGAACAGGTCTTTTTGGGCAGACATCTCCAGCTCCTTCAATCAAGTGGTTCCCCAGCAGCAAAACCAGCAAGAGAGCCTGGTCAATCACCAGCAGGAGTCCACAAAACCAGGCCACAGAGTTCTTCAAGTCCTGGTCAGGCTGGGCCTCCCAAAAAGCCAGGGACACCTGCAGCCACCACGAGTTCTGAAGGTGTCCTTGCAAATTTCTTCAACTCACTCCTCAGCAAGAAGACAGGTACAAGTAATTCAAGTTCGCCTAAAATGGCTGAGAAAGCTATCAGCCGGACTGATGCAGCTGTTGAGTTGGACAGACTCACAGAGAATTCTATAAGTAATTCTGAACATCAGGAAACAACATCTTCTGAATGTTGAATTTTGTTTATGTGTGTCCTTTTTTGAGAGGTTTTTCCATGTCTTGTGTTGCTATTGATATATTAGAGCTAGAGTGCCTTCTTGTCTCTTCATTCCTTGGAATAACCATGAAGTGAGGCTGAAATAAAACTTTGGAGGTGCAGCAAAATTTCAGGAAATATGTGATCAGAGTAATGAAAAAATATAAGCCTACATGTCAATATGTCAGGTTGTTTTACAGGGATTAATTATGATGGGGAGGGAGTAATTCCAAAGCTAACTTTTAAGAGGCAGCCTAAATTTGTCTGAATGTTTCACCACTTCAGAAGAAAGTGTAATGTTCCATGATATCTCCGTGTGCACATATTAAGATGTGTCTTCCTTTCCCTTCCTTAAAAATTTCATATTGGAAGTCTTTCTAAGGAATTTCTCTCCCCTGCCTTGAAGAGTATTTTCCAACTATTCCAGATTCCTATTGTTTCCATCATTCCTTCCCAATTTACTTCTGGATGGTTTTGGCAGCTCTTCGACAATCAAAACATCACAATCTTCAATTACAGCTGATATCTGGGAATGTACTGGATGCATTAACTCCTCATTCCATGGTTTTGGAGAAAGGGGGAAATATTTTTGTGTCCAACCTGTGATTCCCTGACGAAATGATTCCTATTTCAGCATAACAGTGGCTTATTAGCAAGAGAAGGAAGCCAAACTGATTGCAGCAGAAAATGTCATTTTGTTAAGTGAAAGAATAATGCTAGCTTTATGGGAATCGCATGTATATTGGAAGCTTTTTTGAATAAATGAATTTGGAAGGAACTGAGGAAAAATATTCACTGGAAGTATCTTCATGTTGATACACCTATAGGGCTGATCTTGTCACAGAACTGGATCACTGCATAGTTACCTGTCACCATCCAATCTTCACCTGATTTATCCATGGTTTCAGCAAGACCTTCTTTCAGCCCAGCTACTGTATTAGCTTTCAGAGTCCTCAAGGTAAGGATTGGAGCTGGATGGAAACCCCGTAGCACTTCAGTAAATGAAGTATGCCGAGGCCATTCCAAATCGCCAACCAGCTTCCTGTAGTTGAGATCCCCCTTTGCAATGACAAGCTGATTTTGGGCCAGGTGCTGGTAGAGGCCTGGATCTTCTATTTGCATCTCTGAAAAGGGATAGGGAAGAGTCCAGAACATCTCATCATGAAGTGTCCATTCCCCGCTTTTCAAATATTGGATCCATCGTTGGGCCATCCACTGAACATCTTCCCCACATTCAGGTTTTTGCATTACATCAACCATCCACAGGAAGTCATGGGTTGTGACATCCGAAATATACCAAGGCATGGACTTGACATGAAAATGCACTTTTTGTACTACATGGGATGAACACAGAAAATCCATGAGTAGCAGATCACAGAAGAGCTCAAATCCTGCATTGTCCACAATGAGGCCTGCAAAAAGATGAAAGTGTGCAATGATGAGAAAAAATTATTTTTGGCCATTTCAGTAAGTAGAACATACCTAACCCTACCTGCAGATTTTAATCTATCAATTCTTGTACTCTCCAGCTGCGTGAGATAATTGCATAGGTTTTCAAAATGATTACAGAGGATTTTGTCTGCTGATTTGTCCAAGTCCTCCAAAAGATCTGTCTTCTGGGAAGCATCCTGCCCTGCTGTGATACTCAGATCACATTTGTTGCCCCATAGTGCCAACTGAAATAGACACCATTTCCAGTTTGAATGCTCTTCATCATCATATACATTCTCTAAGATACTCAAGTACCTCAATGAAATGACGAAAGATGACTTTGGCCTCCTGCAATTTCCACTGCTTGGTCTGATGATAACTTGTTTTGAAATATTTTGCTAAACCCTTGATTGCTTCCAGAGAATTCCAATAAGAATCCTGTTTCTGATGCTGGAAGTAATCAAACTGCCGAAGGAACAAGCTAAAAAACAAACCAGTAAAGGCATTTTCTTCATTGAGGTGATTATCTATGATTCAAAACTGTTTCTCTCTTGTTCTCACCTGTCATCAAAAGTTTCCCTAATCCTCCTGTACATGTAGCACTCAACAAAAAGCCAGGGAGAGTCAAACCAAGTGGGCTCCTTGCCCTCCCTTGCAGCTTCTTCCTCCAACGCCTTGTTCCACATCTCTTGGTCTGGAGCATCCACTTCAAATGGAATCAAGGGCTTGTTTGTCATCATTTCATACCTCAGTTTGGAGAGCATCTCAGCAACTGATTTTAGGTCTGATACTACTTCCTGAAAATGAAATTCCCAGGAAATAGTGCATCAGAAATGAAAAGGTTACTTCTAACCTATTGAGATTGAACTTAGCTGGAAGAAGAAAGGTTTTACACCAGATTTTAGTATTTTATCCCTAATCTCATCCTCTAAAATATTAATTTCCAACACCCAAAGGATAGTAAGTTTTCCAGTTGTGTGCATATATATACAGAGTGTGGCAAAAGTCATAATACAGTTGTCAAATATCACAATTAGTTCAATTTCTAAATTTCATATTGACCGTTGTTTACAACGAAACACAAATAACACAGAAAAATGATTGTGCAACATAATTTCAAAAGGTACCAGCTTCATCCAATGGCAGTGGCATATTTTGGCTGAAGGGTTAGGGGGGCAAGGCAACAGGGTGGGGGCACCAAACCCCACCCGAGCAGTGGCGTAGCGAGGGGGGGGGGGCTTCAGCCCCCCCAACTCTGGTCGCAATGCGTCCGCCACCCTGACGAGAAGTTAGCCCCCCCCCCCATTGATGAAAACCTGGCTACGCCACTGCATCCAAGTGATATCAGGTGAGAAAATTATTTTCTCCAAGGGGGCAGCTGCCCCCCCTGCCCCCCTAGTAAAATATGCCACTGTCCAACGGTATTACTCTGAAACAAAAAGAAAATTTTTACTTGGAAATTCATAACAGAAATTGCTCTTGCTGTCATGACATTAAACCTCACCTCTCCAAATCTCTTCTTCATTTGCCCTTTCTCTCTTGACAGAAAGTCAACAATCCTGGCGACTATTACCGGGCTACGATCCCTCATGCTCACGTAGGGAAACGTCCTGGAAGAGTAAAACGTCAATCATTAATTATTGGCCTCATCAGCCGAAACGATGAATGAATGAAAAATTCCGAAGGGCTGAAGTAACATGCCGTAACTTCACAGGGAAAGCTCACCCTGGCTCTGAAGCGATAAGAGGTGGTGGATGCGACATTTTCACGTCTTTCGCTTCTAACGACTTCACCCGAGAGCCACAACTACCTGATCAGACTCTCCTGCAAGAGAAGAGGATTCTGAACGCACTCTCGATATCCGATCGGGAGGGGCCCTCGTGTTGGCTATGCGAGGCGCCATCGCGGCAGGCATGGCATCCCCCGTCCGGGCACGAGGGTTCGCTGGGGACACGTGAAACTGTGATTCATTTGGGGTTCTCTGCCCTTTCTGCTGGGCATGAATCCGAGACAGATTTAAATATTTGCGTCTTCGAATAGTGGAAGATGTCGTCTGATGTCGCCGTAGCGCCGAGGATATCCTCGGTGCAGAAGATGGCTCTGTATGAGACCAAAGCGGTGAGATGAAAAAGGATGCCGTCAATGCTACCACTTTTTTTGTGCTGTAGTTTTTTTTTAGGCTTCATTAATTTAAGTATTGCCCGCAACTCCGCAGAGATTCTACTTGGTGGGATCAAATCAAGGCCAAGACAAGTTCAGGGTCCTGAAGATCGACCGGACTGAGCCCCACGAGCTGGTCCTCATCGACGACAAGGGTCTTTACACCCAGCAAGAAATCCGGAACCTGTTGTCCATGATCGACGTTGGGAATCGGCCACGCCTGCCCACGAAAGGGGCTGGAGCAGGCCTTTGCAGAACTGTCTCATCTTTTGGAATTGTTGGTGAGAGAACTATGATTTGAACTGTTCATGTATTTAGGTTTCTGTTCAAGTCTTGTCTTTCCTAAAGTGCCTTAGGGTGAGTACACTTACTCATTTAATGCGAACAACTGTTTTTTATGGCACTTCACATACCACCAGAACCAACATTTCCTTCAATCTGAACTGTAATATAAACTGGTATTTGGTAGATGTCCCTGGAGTCAAAATGCCAGAATATCCAGTCTCCTTATGGATGCAAGTGCACTCACCATAAAAATACTGCCAGAAATTGTAGTGAAGGTATTGAAGTTGTGCATAAGCATTGGGAAAGGAAGGAGAGAAATACCCTCCCTCTTTTTCCCCAGGAGATGCATAATTCTGTATAGCAGATCAATTTTTGGCATTTGCATTTGCTCTGCACTTTCCCCTGCCCCCTCATTTACCTTTCCATTTCCTGGAATGATTGTTTTTTTTATATGATCCATCTCATGCCCTTCATTTTCAGGTTTCATAAGATTCATGGAAGGCTATTACATCATTCTGGTGACCAAGAGGCGCAAAGTGGCTCTCATTGGGTACCACACCATCTACAAGGTGGAAGACACGACCATGATCTACATCCCTCACGAATCTATCAAAATCCCTCACCCTGATGAACAGAAATATGTCAGACTCTTCCAAAGCATTGATCTCTCATCAAATTTCTACTTCAGGTACTGGTGCTAATGGACCTAGGCCAATCCTGTGTTGTTGATGGGCCTTGGGGTGGTAAAGAATGCTGTCACTTTTTCTCTTACAGCTATAGCTATGATGTCACACATTCCCTGCCATATAATTTCATCGATGCTTCACGCCTGACTGTCTCTACTCACTTGACACATTCGATCAAAGATGAAACTTTGAAGGCTTGGTGCCAAAATGTAGCTGGTAAGAACAGTCACAGAATTATTTCATCAAGTGCATTCAACAATGGCTTCTCTAGAGAGGATCACTTAATTTGTAGCAGAAACCCATTGGTCTGACAATGTCCAAGAAGTGAAAGACAAGTTTGAATCATTATACAGTGCCACACATGAAGATAGGTAAGAACTGTCCTTGTGAGTACAGCAATTATATAACCCTTTTCCAGTACTAAGGCAGAATAGCCTTTTCCACAGTGCCAATTGCAAACAGCCTCAGTATCCAGCTTTTGCTGTGAAGGCCCGGCCAAACTGGGTGTACCTGTGGAATTTCCATCTCATCAAGCCCATGGAAGGCCAAGTCCACCCCGACTGGGTGATGTATCTCACTCATGGATTTGTTGGACAGTCGAACGTCTGTGTTTTTGGCCGACCATATTACATTACGCTGATTGCTAGAAGGTCCAATCGCTATGCAGGGACCAGATTTCTCAAACGAGGCTCCACACAGCAGGTATGCAAAAGTTCTTCAGTTCTCCAGGACATTTGCATAATTCTTGAAGGTTTCAGCATTTACTCCCTTGCCTATTTTCTGAAGGGACATGTGGCAAATGAAGTGGAGACTGAACAAATTGTGCATGATTCTCATCAGAGTGGATCAAAAACAGGTCTATTCACATCCTTTGTTCAGCTGAGAGGCTCCATTCCTGGTCACTGGAGTCAAGATATATCTAAAATGGTGCCGAAGCCACCAATCTTGTTTGAGCGAGCAGATCCATTTTCTGAAACTGCTGGTTAGTTGACCTTGACCCGACTTTGCCATTGGGTGTTTTCATGTGCCTAATGCTCACTCATTTTTCTTACAGGGGCTCACTTCAATCAATTGCTTTGGAGATATGGAACTCCTGTGATGATTGTGAATCTTGTGAAGAAGCGAGAGAAGAAACGCCAAGAGTCCCAGCTCAGTGAAGAGTATAGTGTAGCTGTGGATACACTGAACTTATTTCTCCCACCCAAACATCGTATCCAATATATCAGTTTTGACATGGCTCGAGGGAACAAACTGTAGGCTTTACCTTTCATCAATCATGCAGGAATGTATACTTGAATTCTCCTTTAATCACATTCCTTGTTTTCCTCAACAGGAAAGATTCAAATGTGATGTCCCGGCTGGCAGTTATAGCCCATCACTGTGTGAAACGAACAGGCATCTTCATGTCTCATTCACCATATTTCTCCTTGGAATTACGTCCAGATCCCCGCTTTCGTGATCTTGTGGCACAACGGGCAAGGACTCTAGACATATCCAAGATTAAAATGGGGAAGCATGGTTCTGTGGGAATGGTACAGACCGGAGTGATCCGTACAAATTGTGTCGACTGCCTGGATCGCACCAATACGGCTCAGTTTGTGATAGGAAAATGTGCCCTTGCATTTCAGGTATACTGTCCCCCTTGACCCAGTATTTATCATTTATGATATTGCTGAGCTCACTTGTGGTACTTACATTTTGAATCCAGTTGTATGCATTGGGTGCCATCGAGAAGCCAGAGTTAGAGTTTGATTCTGATTGTGTGAGAATGCTTGAGATGCTCTACGAGGACCATGGCGATGTCTTGGCCCTTCAGTATGGAGGCTCTCAACTTGTTCATCGCATCCACACGTACAGGAGAACGGCTCACTGGACCGCACAAGGCTCAGACATCATGCAGACCCTCTCAAGATACTATTCCAATGCATTCTCAGGTAATGATAGTTACAAGCTTTTAGATAGTTTCTACCTACCTGCAATTTGAGATATCTCTCTTGAGTTTCCTTTTCTTGCAGATGCTGATAAACAGAATGCCATAAATTTATTTTTGGGTGTCTTTATCCCAAAGGAGAGCAAAGTTCCAATTTGGGAGCTCCTTTCTGATTCTTATCTCCATAATGATGCTGCCTTAGGGAAGCCTCTTCCAAAAAGGTGCTCTTATCATTTAGTTGCATTTTCTTTAAAGATCTCATTATTCTTCTCTTAAGAACCCTTGATTGGATTGTGTCCATCCAATCCATGCAAGTTCAGTATCTTGAAGTTACTGAAGGCCTTTTAGACCTTTGTTTTGTTGAGTCTAAGGTAGTAGCCCTCAAAAGAAAGGCCACTTGAGATAAAAATTGAGTTAAGTTCCTAATGCTCTTACAGAAGCTGCACCCAGTGGTGGGACTCAGAGGTAATGGAACATCTCCCATTGGCAGCATCAGAATGCAGAAAGACCTGTGAAATAGTGTCAATTGAAGGGGATCCACATGAAGAGACTATTGATGGTTTTGCTGAGCTCTACAGACCCAAGCATCTCAGCAACATTGCACAATTGTTTGCATACACCATGAGCCACTCTGTTAGGTGAGGCAGAATAGGATTCCTTCAGAAGACAATTTTCAAGTTGTTCGCCTGCTGATATGGTAATTTTTTCTCTTGCCAGGGATTTCATGCCAACCTTCACAACTGATACAAGCCCCTTTGTGGCCAGGGTTAGACCTGGGCGAAGAGCAGAGGGAGCAAAGATGGAAAAAAACCCCTCACTCACCGGACAAAGTTCATCTACTTCTACAAACTCCAGGTCTTTCTTCATTTTGTATATCAGTACACTTTACTTTCAGGATATGAAAGGTTGAAGAAGCAATTTCAGTTTTCATAGGGCAAGAATTACTTTTTCTCTGAACTGCAGAAAGAGAAGTGAAGAACATTTACTTAACTTCAAGAAGTGAAGACTCATCTCTCTGCTGGAAAGATGAACATTCTTCAATCCGAATAATGGCACAAGTGCATTGCTTCTAGTCTACTGCTTTTTAGCTGGAGAATAGAAGGTGAAGAGGGTCACATCTGCCTCCTAACTCTGTATTTGAAGTGTGCCTGCTTCAAGGGTTTTTTTGGCTCTGATGTTCAATGTCTTTCCTTGGAGAACAGTTCTATGGTTATGATTTCCTCATTCTGCAATCAAAAGATCTACACTTTTCAATGAGTCAGATGTATTGTCATTCCACAAGCTATGATTTTCTATGCTCTAAGCAAGGAATACTGATGTCTCCATCCTGGTGCAAGTATTTACATTTGGTGGCATTTCTGATGCCTTGGGTTGGTAATGATTTAAAGAAAATTGTTCTTCAGGCTGAACAAAATTGAGTTGATTTTGCTCATGAAGTTGGGAAGGGTATATTCATGAGGACTTGTGTATTTGCATATGGGAGATTGTCGGTCATATATGATTAAGAAATGTATATACCCAGTAAAGTAGGTCATTCTGTTGCCAAATTCCATTCCTGAGATGCATCGTGTTAACTCACAGAAGCGATTCCAGGTATTTAATTTCAAATTTTTGGCTTTTGCAGGTACCAAGCAATGCATGTACCATGTTACGATTGGATTCGTTAGAGGAGACATATTTATTTTAGAATAGCCAATATCATTTTTTCATCGTGATTAAAACGAATACATAATTTTAGTCGACTAGGCAACCATAACTCGTAGTGTTTTGCTTTGATGCAGTTCTGACTCAGAAGCAGATAACTCAGACGGCTTGGAGTCCCTGGACAAGAATCCCTCTACCTACGAAGAAGAAAAGGCAGGAGACTTGAGCACTTCGTCTCTGGCCGATCTCTGTCCGTCCATGAAGCAGGTCTATGGATTGGAGATCAAGGAACCTAAAGAAAAAGATATGGAGATTTACCGAAGGTGAGTCAAGTCCCTGCATTCCGCGTCCTCGTCGATCGAAGGAATGCAACGATTGCGGATCGCTCGTCTCCAGGTACACGACGGTCGCTAGAGCGACCTTCCAACCGCGATGCAAGGAGACGGAGTCCTTCCAATTTAAGTTCGTCGAGCCGATCTTCCCCAAGAAGTGGAGTTCGTACGAAGTGGAGATCCCGACCGTGAGCAAGGAGTCCCGCAAGATCTACGAGGAGTACGTCCTGCGCGGAGTCCACGGCGCCACGCTCCCCGCCGATGAGGACGTCATGGCCTACATCCACTATGTGTCCGATTCGCCCGATGGCGCTCTCAAGTCGGTCGCATGATCGTTCCTTGCGCTCGTAAGCGAAGTGGCGGGTTGAGGTCTTTTACATTTCGTCATTGGCATATCACATTTATTCAATGTATTCCAGTCATCTGGCTTGAGGGTATTTCCATTTGGCGGTGTTTTATCGGATTAGCTCAAGCTCGTGGGCCTCATTTCTGCTTCGTGTGATTGTGGCTGTGATAGTAATGTTAATAAAATGGAATTATCACCTTCGCAAGAAATTCGTGCGGTCCTTTTCATGTAGCTTCATGTATTCCGGGTTACTTCTCGGGCACGCTTGGGATATTTCAAATCCGAATCGTGGCTGAGCGAAAGACGAGCCCTGAACGTTTTGTTCGATTTTCTAATCTCCCCAATTAAAAGTTACTCGAGAGGAAAAAACCTATTAACCAGAATGGGTTCTCGCATCGTTCGGCATCTGAGGCAGATACCGAAAAAAAAAACAACGCACAGCGGTAATCATTCAATATACCATAGCATCAAGATGGATTGGGATGACGAGAGGAAAGGACGGTCGGAAAACTTGCCCGTACTGGGCAAGAAAGCCCAAGGTCTCGCGGTCGGGCTGCTGTTGAATGCAGCACGTGCCTGTGCCGGCTCTTGTGTTCGAGGCATGTCGCATCGGAGTCTGAATCTTCAATCGTGTTGGATCGTTTCGAATGCATATTCATTTTTCGAGACATCGTTCAGGTAATTTTTCGATTTGTATTCCATCCTTGAGATTTTGGGATCACGTGGATATTCTTAGTTTTAATTCTGCAAACGCAAGAGAATGTTGATCGGATGGTCCGACGAATAAAACTGCCCTTAGGAGGAATGGGGTGGCCGAGTTTTCCGCTGGGTCTCGAGAGCGACGTCGAGTGAAATTCAGGGGTGCTTCACCTGGGTTCAGCTCTTCACCGTCGAGGTTCGTTAAACTATTTATCAAGTGCCTTGTGGCGGAGGTCCTCCCTCTGTAAAGATTATTTGTGAGAGCATATCTAGGCCTAGTCGCCTACTAAGGTAAGGTGACCAGACCACCTGACCCTGTGTCCCCCCCATTGAACTTGCAGTTCTAATACCAGTTCTTGTTCATATTTCAACTATAATAAATATGCAACATATACATTCATATTTTTTTTTAAGAGGCAAGGGAAGTATTTATTGGGTGTCCCGCTTTCGAGACACAGAAATCTGGTCACCTTAACTAAGGACACCCAGAGATTCAACCAATCCCATAGGCACAGTCGAGGGATGAGTTTCAGTTCGAATATAAGCCTCCTGAGAGTGCGGACCGGAGCTACTAATAAGAACCTTTCTGTATTTTTAAGATAATTTCAGGCTCTCTTCCGTCTTTTCGGCACTCTCGGTTAGGTCTTGTCAATTCCTGCTTTTTCATTGGAGGATGCCGGAATGAAGAAGCATCCCCATTGGAGCATGCCGCTGCGCATCCACCGATTGAGGATGCTCCGTGGATTCTTAAGTTAGAAGATTCGGTTAAAATGTTTCTTCGCTTCGCTCTTGGCCCTGAACACGAAGCAAGAACTTGCCAAGAGAATTGCCTTGTGTATACACCACTTGCTTCGCTCTAGCAAGTCCCGGCAAGTGCTTGCTTCCACTTTCCTCTTGGTTCAAAATGCTAGAAGGCTTGTAAGCAAATCGCGCTCTGATTGGTCGGGAAGACCTTGTAGGAACCAATTGGGGTGAGGCTCAAGGCCAGGGCAGGATTTAGGGGCAGGCGACCTTGCTTCGGGGGAAGGAGGGGGGGGGGGGGGGGGGGGGGGGGGGGGGGAGGTATTAGAACTGCAAGTTCAATGGGGGGGACACAGGGTCAGGGGGGGGGGGGGGGCGAAGACGCTTGGGCCACATGCGTCTAGCAACAGACCGTCGCCGGCCAATCAGAACGCAGCTCCTGTCTTTGTCGTGATTAACGGGCTATCCGCGTATCTCGAACCCATCTCCTAGACTCCCAAGTGGAAATTATGGAAAATTATATGCTTGTGGTTGTCATGTGGTCTTCGGGAAAAGGTCGATCCGATCAATTTATTATTATATTATTTTTGTTTAGCATGGATTCTATAGAGTTCTAGTTCCTCATCTGGATCTGATGTCCTTTCCTGGATTCAACCTTTTTTATTTTTAGTCCCTGTTCAAAAATGAGCAGTCATGGGTGAGGGTGCCAAAATATTATGTCATGGCAGGAGTCCTTCGCTTCGAAATATTAAAAATTTCAAACAATGCTGCACAATTAGATAGGCCTACAGTACGCGTATGACTGTAGGTGTGACGAAAACAAAGGTGTGTAAGAGCTCTCTAAATGTAGTTTCACTTAAACCGACTGCACGTTTTTCCTTGTTTATGGTAGAATGGAATAGAAATGAAAATAATGTTTAAAATCTAGCCTTTCAGGCTGGTGCTCATGATTAAATATTATTAATGGCATTTTTGAGCTTGGGTTCAACAAAGGACAACCTTTCAAATGATATACAGGGTGTCCATAGTTACTATATGTATAATTCATAAATTTTATTCAGCTGAATATGCGGTCAGTGATAAACTAGGCCTAAGTCCACCACTCAGGTCTCTCATGCCGAACCATGAAAGGTGTCGCGTCCAGGGGCCAGTTGCACCGCCTCAGTTACGTCAGACTTACGTGCAACGTCAAACGTGCGACTTAAGTGCAGAGGGAGCCAGTTTACCATGTTTCCTAAGTCTGACTTAACTGAAACTTTGACCTTACTGAGGCAGTACAACTGACCCCAGGTTCTACACACGACTGTGCAATCTGCAATGGTCGCGTCGAGTGGTCGTGTGTTACAAGGGGGATGATGAATGTGGAACTCATACCTGGCGCATGATCAAAGGAATCACATTCTGATTGGCCGGCGACGGTCTGTCGCTAGACGCATGTCTAGGACAGATCCTGCTCATGGTGTCCCTGCACTTTGTTGGAACAGACTTGGTCTTTGTTTCTTTATAAAAATTGTTTGACCGAAAAGGCGCTTGTAGCATGCGAATGAGAATCAAGGGAGAGATATTGCTCATCACATCATGGCTTCCATTACCTGATTCCTGATGGAGCGGTCGAGGTATTCCTACATCATAATATTCTATAGACAATGTCAATCACTAGAAGCCGGTAATTAGGGCCTCCGTGGCATCAATGGAGAGTTGTGGCGCCATGTCACAAAATTATGCCTAAATCGTGGTCTGCAGGTACGGAGACTAGACCTAGGTCAAGGAATGACAAAGACAATGACCCGCGAAAGACTTTAGCGAGGATCCCGTGTTGCGCCCAGGTTTCTTCATCAAACGAGTACTTCTTTAGAATCATATTCGTAACGCTTCCTAGACCCCAAAGGATCCGACGCAGATAAATTGTTCTTGCAATTATTAGAGCTAGAACTCCTCGATTCTTTTAATTTTAAGGTGTATCATTTCAGCCTGCATAGGTTCCTTTTAATGTTATTTGCAGATAAAGGTGTAAAATGAAGCACCGACATTTTTAGTTCTTTTAAACGTTCATGCTCGCCCATTGTTGGACATCTGTGACAGAATTTAAAAAATAATGCCGCATGCATATATTTCCCACACCTCCCTTCTCCTCCTGTTGTGCCGGGAACCGAGCAAGTCCGAGGAACCCGGGGAGGAGAAGGAAGGTGTGTACCCAAATGACACCTGGGTAGGGCGCGGTTGGGGAATCGAACCCCAACCTCCCGGACGGCACGCGGACGCTCTGCCTGTAAGGCCGTTTCCGCCGGTTGAAATTTAGACCGCTTATACGTGGGTTACATGTTATAGGTGGGGAGGGTGAGTGAAAATAGCCTACGGCTGAAGAGTGCATGAGAAAACTTGCTCGTGCCCCACTGCGACGGGCTAGCTGAGCCCTCGTCTGGCTTCTGTCACTTACTACGGCCTTATGAACATGTTTCCTCACGCGCTCTTCGCTTAGTTGGCTTCTGCCGTTGCTCTTTACCGGTCTTGATCTCATTGGATCCACACGTATGCGCCGGTTCTCTTGTTTGTGTATAAGTGATTGCAAGTGGACTTCGACTTTCTCGTTTGAGGTTGTTTTCACCTTGCATTTTTCTAAATTCTTATTTGTAAGCGAAAGAAGCAACCATCACCGGTGATTTCTATCATTTATTCTTTCTGTTCGATCTTTGTGAATATTTAAATTTCGGTTCAGCAACTCGAGGAATCAATTGACACAATGCTAAGCTGTCGTATGATCCGGCCACCTCCGATCGCCTCTCTATTCCCCTCGAGGAAAGGTGGCCACGGCCAGATGGGACGTGAGATTAGGTTTCCAAGACCCTCATCCCTCGGCTGCAATGTTAGTCGACCTTCGTCAGACCGCACCCCACATGGCAACTGAAAGTTGAAAGGGGAGGAGAGTCCGTTGCGCCATGTCTCGCCCTCCTCCCACTCCTTGCCTCTAGCGAAGACCTTTCCTCGGAAGGATGGAAAGGTGGATGAGTCCACGGGCTATGTGAACGGTCCCTTCAACGTGGGGCTTGTGGAGCGACTTCATTAGGAGCTGTTGCTTAGCTCTTTATGATGTCCTTTTTTTCTCCGAGCACCCTCCTGACAATTACCTCGCTTCACGGTCTTCGGGTGTGGCTGTTGCTGACAATATTTGCCCTAGCATGTGTCGATGGCGATGAAGACGTCGTCTCTCCTGCAAGATTCACGTCAGGCAAACCTATATGGCTTTCAAAGTAAGTTTGTTCTGTGGCTATAGCCACAAAAGGTATACCCTTTTTTTCCTTCTTGATACTCCTTGTCGGTCCGACTTGGAGATCTCCACAGGCGCGACGTTCGGTTTCTGAGGGTTTTCAGTTTTGCAACAGACAAACGAGTGTTGGCATTCGACGAGACAAAACCAACGCATTTAAAAAAGCACCTTTTTTTTACTGTGGCTTATGAATCAGCATATTTTGATGTCTATGAATTTATACAATGCTAAGGGCCGATTGTATGAAGGACATTTCCCCCATGTTTTACAGAAAAATTATCAGTTAACCGATGTCCGAAGGCCAAAAGTGGATTGCATGAACGCTTTCTTTAATCATTGGCTATCGGAAGCTGAAAAAGGTGTAATTTCCAGACATGTTTTGCCGATGCTTATGCCAGCGCTCATGTATCATCTCGATCAGTATAGCGCTGCAGCGTACTGGTGAAGCGAAAATCTCTAAGGAGCGCTCGATATCTCGTCGTCGCATGGGA